AGAAGGGATTGGGCCCAATTGGAATTGGGCCATATTGTGGGCCTTGATGGATGATTTAACTTTTAGGCCCATTAGATTGTGGTCATAGGCTTCATTCTTGGACCAAACTAGGTTAGGGGTAAAATGGTCTTTTACCCCAAGTAGAGATTTTTGGGTTATGATGTAGATCCCAAATGTTAATTAGTTTTTATGTGGCAATTGATAGCTCGGGAAGCTGTAGGACCAACAGTCAGGGATCATTCATTTCATTCAGCTTTTCGAGGTGAGTCTCCTCACTGGGTTTAGCGGGTCTAAGACACCAAGGCCGAACCTTGATTGGTTATGTCTATATACTTGTTGTCTGTGTGATACTTTCATGTGCATGTATATGTATGTTATTGGGCGGGGCCCGTTATGCGGTGTGGGCGGGGCTCGTATCTCATTGGGTAGGGTCCGATATACGAGAGTGAGCGGGGCCCATATCTCATTGGGCGGGCCCCGTTATGCGAGTATGAATGGGGCTCATATCTCATTGGGTGGGGCCCATTATATGATATGTTTGGTATGCGGTATCTTGGGGAACTCATTAAGTTTTGTGCTTACGGTTTTTAGTTTATGTTTCAGGTACTTCCGGTTCCAATGGAAAGAACTCGGGTTGACTGCATCACGCACACCATATGGATTCTGTTTATGGGACATACTCTAATTTTTTTTATGATGATTGACATATTTATTCGATCGGGATGTATGAACAATGTTTTGGAATATTGTTTTTACGTGAATCAAGAATGAAATTTTTGGGTCATAATTTTTGGATGTTTCAAATTGTTTATAAACCTTCTTTAATTAGTTTTTATATCGGCATAGTAATACCCGATCCAATTATGCGATTTATGTCCCTATTTGTTCATAACTCCGTTCTTGTATTAAAACATTTATAACAAAAGGTCCTATGTATAATTATTTACTTGTCATGGTATAAACTAGTAGTACTAAACTTTAAGATGAATTAAATCAACAAAGATACCTTCTCAAAGCTTTTTATTTATTTATTTATTATTATTGTGTTCTTTGACATCAATAAGCTAATGACTATTATAAAATTTAGAATTAGATATAAAAAGATTCTACCAAATGGTTTTTAGCACAACAATATCAGGTGTTGTCATCCCTCTTTGAAATCGAAAGTTCAAGTCTCGTTAGAAAGATATGTGGTACTTAGGTGTAGTTTAGGAATAATAGATTATATTTGCCGTTCCAAGAAAAAGATAGAAAAAGATATAAGTAGATTCTTACTAAGCAATCACAAAATGCCCTTTTTATAACAAAGATGAAGAATGCTACGTAAATTAATTAATCTAATCATCATTAATTTAGTGTTCAAAACTAGAAAGTGTCGATGTTGATTACACTGCCACAAAACTAGAATGAAAAATTTAAGGTGTTTATGTTGATAATAGTGATGAAGAATGAAATATGCTTTCTATTTGATTAAATATTTGTCAATGCTATTGGAAATTAATTAGGTAATATGATCAAAATAATCTTTTATTGATTTATTATTATATTTAAATATGATAAGACTTTCATTATTAAATTTTTACCTATCCAAACCTACATTGGCTTATTTACGTGAGCGAATGGGTGTAGGTATACATGTAGGGTGGGATGATGTCGGTGTTGTCGTGTTGGTGTTTTTGACATATTAACGTGGGTGTGTGAGCGTGAGTGTGGATGTGGGGGTGTGAGTATATGTACTATGTAGTGATGGGATGTGTGTGGGTGTGGTTGTAGGGTCTGGGAGGCGGGGGTGTTTGTGTGAGTGTGGCAGTGGGCCGGGGTGGGATGGAAAATTCTGACAATGCATTTGACCAAGACGGTTTAGAGAATAGGTGAACTATATGAAATCAAACAAGAGTCAACTTGTAGAAATTCTTATAATGCATTTGACCGGGTAACAAAACCAATTGCAAACCGGATTATTTTAGGTATTTAACCAAGTTCTTTTAGCCTTTTTATAGTAGTGAATTAATATCGTAGTATTTTTTTATATTGATTATGTTTTAAATTTAGTTGCTTATAAATAATGAAAAAATATGAAAATTTTCAGATATCTAGATTGTTATCCGAATTCGTATCTAAAATTTCAGATATAAATTTTGATATTGAGATCCACGATCCAAAATTTCGGATATAAACTTACTCATCCCACCCACTTCGCAGCCACTTATATTTTGACCATAATTAAGAAGTATGATATCATCATGAATATCTCTAAAATAAATCCAGTTTTTCTCAAGTTTGCCATCTTTTTCCCTCTTTGTCCAATTAAAGTGCAATTATGTCTCCACAAAGGACCGCATGGCTAACACTAGGAAAGTAATTCATAATGTAGACATTTAGTAAGATGACTAATGATTCTTTGAATAAATTTAGTAAAGTCAAAAAAGAAGTAATATATACAAAGCTCAAATATGAAATACATCCATCGACATATTAAATTACCGAAAAAAGAAAAAAAAAAACTAATTTTGTAAAGAAATTTAGAGAAAGAAAACCCTAATGAATCTTTTATTATTTATTATTTTTTTCATGAAATCTTAGAACATGCAAGTATTGTCCTTGCCACCATCGTTATTCTCACCGGAAAAGTTTGCAACCTCGTTATGGTCTTGAACCCTCTGCACAAACCCATGATGAATATCACCACCAGCTCCACGGTTGCCCACCGCCATTGTGTAGTACTGCTGGGGCGGTGGTTGCTGTACTTCCACGTTATAACCACCCACATCAGGCGGCGAAATCCTTGACTCCATCCCATAATAATGAAAACTGGATGAATTAGCACTGTAACTGCTCCAAGGTTGAAGAGGAGCTGTAATAGTTGCAGGAGCATCCATAAACGCCGTTGAACCATCACGACCGGTGAACTGTTGGACCATGGAACGGAAGTTGGTGATGTCAGTATTAAGTAAGGTGGTTGGGGTCCTCCGTGAAGTCCTGCTGGACCTGCGACCGTTGTTGGTGGGACGTGTTACACGGCCCTCTTTATCATTAGATACACTACTGGCAGTAGTGGTGGTGGTGGTGACTGTTGTGGCGTCGGTGACATGACCGGACCACTGCAGGGTCGAAGGTTGTGATGTTCCGGTGAGGTTATTTTGGTAAATTTGGAGCCACTCATTGTTGGAGGTAGCCATGGTTGATGGTTTTACTTATTTGTGAAAGGAATACAAATTTGTTTAAATAATCAAAAAGTAGGTCATTAGTCGTTGGTCGTTGGTCAAGAGAGTCGACTTTTCTACAATAAAAGAGACACGTGACTGGCACGTGAGAAGTTGATGGCTGTGAATGAGCCGGGAATTTATCCAAATTAGTGTGGTTCTTCTTGGAAGCAACCTCAAAATGTTCGTGTAAATTATCCAAACAATTTGTTATCCATCATGTATATTTTTTTACAAAAATATTTAATTACTGTTAACTTATTTGAGAAGATACGTTATCGAACAGAAATAAAACATTTTGGCCAAAACAAGTTCGTTTGTCATATACAAGTGTAATTCTTTATTGTCTACGTCATTTATGATAACAGTTGTATGCAGATAATTGCTATATATATTATGTATGTCGTTTATAACTGTTTCTATTAAACCACATGCCAATCTCATATAATCTTTATACAAGACCCATAATGGTCGTTTTTCTTAAAATTGAAGATGCTTCTTTCTTAGCGAACTCTAGCCACATCTTGGTTTCTTGGTTTCAATAAATCTGCCACGAGATCGGTTTTTTCTAGGCCTTAATATCAGCCTCATAAGACATAAATATCAGCCTCATTAATTAAAGAAGTTTTTACTTATTTAATATCTCATCTTTAATTTTGGATAGAACTTTGTTTTACGGTTACCAATGTATCTTAGCAAGGTATCGGTTTTAGTTAGCGAGTGCATTTGAAGGAATGCTATGGCATGAATATTAGTTTGGCATCTTTACAAATTTTGATGCATTTATAATTTTGAGGTACTTACATTGTGTTTGAAGGTTCGTATCCAATCGTGTTTAGGTGATTTGATCAATCACCATTTTCCTGTTCGTCTCATTCAAGAGAGTATAGTCATTAGGGACTTTTTGGCACTATTTATTTTTGATTTATGTCTTCTAAAATTTGACGGTTCTTTTGCTGAAGATTAATTTCGTTTCAAAGGGGAGTTTGTTGAAGATGCTCTCAAAGCTTTCGATTGGCTCTCAAGTTAGCCATCTTTTAGGAATGTTTCCTATTTATAAGGTTTTAGATTAACATTAGACTCTTTTGTAAGGCTCTATATAAATCCATTTAAATGTCAAGTTTTATCCATTCCTACATCTTTTTCTATCTTTTACTTCCCTTTTATCAGCAATGTAACCATTCAATAAGTATAAGTACTGGCCGTTCATGTTGGGGTTTTCCCTTTTGGGTTTCCATTTTTTATATCATTGTTGTTTGATTGTATTTCTTGTACATAATTTATTTTATAATAGTGTCAAGTAAGGTTGAGTAGCAAGTGAAATTTTAACAAGAGCACGGAGACATTTTGTCCTAATTTTGTTTCATGCTGTGCCAACTTTTGACACCCCTACTTGTGATGTGATCGACTACCACACCCCTTACGTCGTCTCTTGAGGAGGAGGAGATAAAATATTGAATGCATCTAAAACAATCGAAATATTTCGAAAGACATCCTATCATAAAACCTTTTTACTTGAGTTAAAAGGGTAGACTTATTTCTCTAACTTTCTCAGTTAAGTCGTTTCTTTCTATATTAACTGAAAAAAAAAACAAATAAAAACAAATAAAAAAACACATGCATATAGCTAGCTTATTGAATTTTTTTTTTTTTTAAAAAGTTCATTAAGTCAAAAAGAAACAACACCTTAGCCTCTTCAAGAGATTATGTTTATTGTCTACTTAGAAGAAGAATCATGAACATAGATATATTCACAAGCAATAAACGCATACAACAGATAATCAATTAAACACCAACATTGTTCAAGAAGAAAAGGCACATACAAGAATGATGAAACTCAACCGAGTTCTTCTTCCATCGATTAAGTCCTTTTTGCATTAAGTCAAAAAGAAACACTCAATACAACTTATCATGAATCATGATCATACATCAATCAATGCCAACCCACTTTCTAAAAGCTTTCACATGTCCAAGCCTTTTTCCTTGAGCCTCAGATCTAGCATCCGATAGTTTCATTCTTCTATAAAGACCCTTATGCAATTTCAAAAACTTACTTCTATACAACCACTTATCAAGATACATACCATGCTTCTTCATACACCCAATGACCTCCATCACCCTCTCAAAATAACCACCTTTTAAAAAATTCAAAACCAAAACCTCATACAAATCTCTATTAATCGTCACATTTCCATCATCACAACTCCTCTTTATGTCGCCCCATAAAATAGTAATCTCACGATACATTTCTAAAGAAGAATACCCCATCACCATGTATATATATGTTGCCACATTAGGATACACTTTCTTTTCTTGCATACTTTTATATGTTTTCAAAGCATCTTCAATCATTTTTGCCTTTGTGAAGAAGTAAATTGAGGAGTTGAAATTGTAAATCGAACAATCTTTTTCCCCTTCTCTTATTTCTTGAACTATACATTTAGCCAAATCCGATCTTCTACTAGTAGTAAAAAGGTGAGAATCCATAAATGAGGTCTCAGATATCTGTGGGACCCTTCTTGTACTTTTATCAGATACTGTTATACCGAGTTTCTTGATTTGTTTCAAAAGTCCTTCGGCTTCCCTATGCTTGTTACTTTCACAATAAGCTTTTAACAACAATGCATATGAATTAGAGCAAATAACGTTGCCTTTTCGTTCAATATCATCTAAAATGTCATGAGCAGTTTCAAGCCACCCCACATGAATACACGCCTCAACAACATTAGAAATCAAATCTTTCATTTTTAATAAAACATTTTCCTTTTGGATTCGCCATAAAAGATCTGATAACTCACTAACCCGCCCTTGTCGCTTATATCCTACAATGAGCTTTCCAAGGGCATTATTGGAAATAACAAACTTTCCGCTTCTATACATAACAAGTCCCTCGTTTCTTTCTTGCTTCATTAGATTTTCATCAACCAAATGAGGTAAAACCCGTAGTTTTAATCCCATTTTAAGATTCTGAGATCCAATAGGGATAACAAAAGGCTTCTTTTCTGTTAAATAGGGATGAGTTTTTTTCCGACTAATCATGTCCAATATGAGTTCAGAAGCCGAATCAATGTCATTAAACTTGAAATGTAAACTCATAAGACTATCATAAAATTGAAAATAATGATGACCTAAAAAACCTGCCACCTCATCAACACAATCTTTGAATTTCTTTAACTCATCTCTTTGACCATTAATCACATGGATTCGGGAAATATTTATGATGGTATACGCATCACCTATTACTCCCATTTGAGCCATTAACTCTATGATTTGGTGAGCTTTAAAAGATAAGTTATAACTTGAGCAAGCATCAAGAACAATGTTGAAAATTACAATATCGGGTTTAATCGGTTTGTTAGAACCCAAATGAAGAAAATGGTCACAAATTTGAATCAAGATATTTGATGCAAGATACGTACCTATTTCTTTTTTGACCATATGAAGAGTGATTGACCCTAATAAGTTGTTTGATGGAATGATATTTTTCTCAATTATTGTTCTGAGAATCTTGGATGCAGGAATTGGCATTTGTGCTCTTGCTAAGGAGAGTGAGAGGTTGTGAAGGTGGTCAATGTGAAGTAAGTTTGACTTTTCTTTGGAGAGAGAAAGGGTTATATCGCATGCTCTTTGAAGCCATTTGGGTTCAGATGAGTAGGATAATTCGGTTATGAATTTGGTTAGTAAACGGGTGTCTGGTAAACCGTGAAGTTTTTTGAAATCTGTGTAAGCTTCCCATGCTTCATATACTTGATGGTTTTTTACAAAAGTTTCAAGGTTTTTGAGTAGAATGTCATGGGAAGATCCTTCCCATGAAAGTGTTCTTGGATTTATGCTACTGGAGAGATATCTGAGATGGATATTTGAGGGTATTTTTGGGAAAATGTCTGAAAGAAAAACCTTGCTGCAATTGTAGCGGATTAAGTAGAGATGAAACATGGATGCTCTCATGAGTGACCATGCTGTTTATGCATATTACCTTGAGAAAACTGAAAATGATTATTAGAAGGAAGTTTAAGAGGATTATGAATACTTAACAATATAGTTATCATAGAAGAAATGAGTTTGCATAACTCAGTTTGTTGCTGGACAGTGAACTTAAAGATCTCCTAAATTTTCCAGTTACAAATACCCACTAATTTCAAGTAGGCATATTATCAAACACCTGGCGTTCGTCCTCAATTTCTTCAAAATTATCTAATTCGCATCAACAACTCAACAAATATTCCAACCGAATTAATAATTTTACTAATGCAAGTCATGAATAAACAGATAAAACCAAAAACAAGTATTTTTATTAATTCAAGAATTCCATTAATGAATAGGCATCACCAGAGCTCTCTACACAGAATTCCTACAAATATAACATATAATCTTTCCTTCCCATAAAATTTCATCACAGTTTTCGAATTAAACATCCCTTACAATCACAAGGTTCTCATTTTACCAAATTCTGAAGCTCAAAAATAAAACTTGACATAGTTGTGCTACGAACTAGTAAAGATATCAATTTGATCCCAAAACATATGAAAGCTGAAGTTTGCATTGAACTTCAGAGTAGAAAACAGCGAGAGAGAAAGAGAGAGAGGTACCTGATTTGGTTGTAGAGATTACCGGGAACGAACGTGAATGAGTTATGGGGGAAGGAGGTGAAGGTGAAGCTTCGGGCTTTTAGAACTGAGGTCTCAAACCCTTTCCCTCATTTTTGTTTTCCTCACCTAAAGGAATAGGTTTTTTTTTTTTTTTTAATTTTTTTAATTTTTTAATTTTTTTTTTTATTTTATTTTAATTAAATAATATTAATTTTCTTTTATGATTTATAATTTTTAAATTAATACTAAACATAAAATTTAATTAAAAATAAAAAGCAATTCATTAATTAAAATAAAAATTACATTAAACCTAATATTTAAATAAGTAGAAAAATAAAAATAAAAACGCAAAAAAAAAAAAATATCAAACAACCCACAACATAGAAAACATAATTAATATCATAATTTTATTTAAACCAAACTACGTCACTCGGAATCATCGTCTTCGTCATCGTCCTCGTCGTCGCCTTGATCGTCTTCATCATTCTCCCCAACGTCACTCTCGTCATCAGAATCTTCACTCTCGACGAACATATCAGAATCCTCGCCTGATTCGTCAAACAAATCATCGTGAGAAAACTCTAACGGGGGCTGAATATGAGCCCTATAAATGTGCTCCACCAAATCAGCACGAAGGGCGTGATGAATGTCGCGATTGTGTACTTCTCTTCTATTCACCCTTTACTCTTGTGTACCAACGGCTACTCCTTCGACATTTTGGCAAAACTTCATTTTCGTTGTACCGACATATCGCTCTTCCTTCGTCTTCAAGAATCATATTATGCAATATGATACATGCATACATTACGTGATGTAACATTTTCACCTCATATGACCTTGCCCCGACCGTTAGTACTTGCCAACGTCTCTTAAGTACACCAAATGTTCGCTCCACATCCTTCCTAGCTGACGCTTGCGCCTCTTTAAACTTTTTCCTTTTCGGGTCATTAGGACATGTAAACGATTTCACAAAAACAGACAAGGGAGGATATATACCGTCAGTAAGATAGTATCCACGCTTATATGCTACCCCATTTGCTTGAAAAGGTACATCGTGCGACTTTCCAAGGTAGATATCGTTGAATACCGGCGACTGGTCTAGCACATTGATGTCATTGTTTGCACCAGCTGAACCAAAGAATGCATGCCATATCCAAAGATCATGTGATGCGATAACCTCTAGAATGATCGTCGGCTCTTTGTGGTCGCCTCTCATGTACTGACCACGCCATGCGTTGGGGCATAATGACCAACTCCAATGCATGCAATCGATACTACCTAGCATTCCAGGGAATCCATGCTTGCCTTCATGCACCGTGTACAATTGGTGGATATCGTTGATAGTTGGTTTTGCGCAAATATCATTGCCCATAAACCAAACAGATCACTTTGCAGAACTTGTACACACACTCCCGCACGGTACGCTCTGACATCCTAAAATACCCATCCCATTTGTCTGCGCCCATGCCGTATGCTAGCTAACGAATTGCAGTCGTGCATTTTTGAATGGGAGAGAAACCTTTTATCCGCCTTGCATCCATTTTCAATTGGAAATATGGAAAGCGGCCTTCCAAATCGCCAATAATACGTAGGAATAGTTCCTTCCTCATCCGGAACCGACGTCGAAACTTTACAGCGTAGATGGCGTCATCTGCAAAATAATCTTCTATAAGGCGATCGTGTCCGGCTTCGTGATTTCTACGCAACCGCGGCTTTCTTGGTTTAGATCGTGCACGTGATGTTTCGCCTAGTCGGTTTTGATAGTATGTAACCGTTTTCGCCATGACGGAACCGATAAACTTAGCCTCCTCTACAGCCGTCGAATCGGATGATGAAGATGATGACATTTTGAATAATATTTTTTGGAGAGAAATATAGGTTATGGGTTAAAAAAAGATAGGATGTTGTAGTATTTATAGTTTAAGAAAAGGGAAAGAAATTTTTTTTTGTATATAACGGCTATATAGCCGTTTGGAATAAAAAAAGAAAAAAAAAATTAAACACCCAATCAAGTGAAGAGAGAGAGTGCGAGACTCCCTCCCCCACCTCTTTCCCGCGTTTCCTTTCCCGCACCCCCGGTGCGGTGTTTCTCCATGCAGGACGTTTCCCGCGGCCTTCCCTGCTCACCATACCGTCCGACCTTAGAAAGGTACGATTCTTGATTCTATAACTCCTTAGATTTATTCGATATTTGCATCCAAAAACAATTCTCTACAAAAATGGTCCCTCTAATATAAAATGGTCCCTATTTTAAAATAAAATTGCATAAATGTCTTTATATATAAAACAAATTACAAAAACAGTTCCCTTAGTTTACATAATAATCATTTAAAAATTGAAATACAAATTGCATACAAAATCAAAATTACACAAAATGTATGTTAAAATCAGAATTTCTGATTGAAACTTTGTATATGAAATGGTCATTCTAAATCCTATGCTCGAAAATCAGAAGAAAGAAAATAAGATAAAACAAATGAAGTTTACGTATGGTACTCTCCAATCGAAAGAAACAAATAATAATAATAATAATAATAATAATAATAATAATAATAATATATGAGATGGTTACCGTGGCTGCAGCGGCACTCCGGCGGGGGAAGGCTAGCCGGTGACGAAGTAGGGAGCTTGGTGAGGAGGTGATGATGTCTAATGAAGAGCACCGAAGAGAAGAAAGAAAGATGCGGGATTTGGGGCACAATTGTCTTTCCGACCCATTCAGCAAAAAATATATGGTTTTGAGGCTTTGTGAGAAAGACATATCTTGTTGGGAAAGATCATTTTTTTTTACAAATCAAAAAATCCTTTTGGCAAATTTAGTCAGAAAGATCTATTTGGATCTTGAAAAACTTCTATCAAACGGAGCCTAAATCCCTATGCATAATTATTTTTATAAGGACGGTTCCTCAAATTAGAAAAGTTATATAAATGGCCCCAACATAATAACAAATTTATAGAAATGATTCTTATGTTTCAAAAAATTATAATATGGCCCTGCCTATTAGCAAATTTACATAAATGGCCCATATAGTTCACAAAATTTTAGAAACTTTCCTTTCTTTTCATAAAATAACAGAAATAATCCCTACCAAAAACAAAATTATAGAAATTACGCTTACATTTCACACACTAAAGAAATGGTTAATGTCTAATACCAAGTTCATAAAAATGTTCTAGGGAAAATAACTTATCAAGGTAATTAACTTTTCAGTATGTTCACATCTGGGTAACTATCTTTTTTTGTACACATCTAGGTAACAAACTTGTTGGAAGTGTTCACATATGACCATTATGACCTGCTGTAGCAGGTTACATCCTAGATGTGAACACTTTCAACAAGTTCGTTACCTAGATGTGTACAAAAAAGTAGTTACCCAAATATGAACAAAACGAAAAGTAAGAGTAAATTACACGAATGGTCCCTGTGGTTTCGGGAAATTTATGTTTTTGGTCCCTAACTTATTTTTTTAACTCGGATGGTCCCTACTGTTTATTTTTGTTGCACGTTTGGTCCCTGTCTTACCTAAAAAGACTATTGTGACCTTATTAATTTATTTTTTAGTTAATTTTATTATTTATGTATTTATTTTTTATATATTTAAAAAAAATTAATAGACCCTACATATTTGTATCTCCTCACCGTAAACCTGAAACCACATTTGAGAAATTTAATTTGGGTCTCACCGGTCACTATCCTATCTCTCATACTCCTCAACTTCTATTTCTTTTCCATCTTTAGTGACATCGACGTCTTCACCATGCTTCTTTTTTTGGTCCTTCAACTCTGGCGAACCAACACCATAACCCACTGTCTCTTCATCTTTAGTGGGTTCACTCGGTTGTGGTGTTAATTCGACGGAGTTGAAGGACGGAAAAAAGAAGGGATGGTGAAGACGTCAATATCACTAAAGATGAAAAATAAAATAGAAGTTGAGGAGGATGAGAGATGTGATGGTGAGGAGATACAGATATGTAGGGTCTATTAATTTTTTTTAAATATATAAAGAATAAATACATAAATAAGAAAATTAATTAAAAATAATTAATTAATAAGGGCACAATAGTATTTTTAGGTAAGACAGAGACCAAACGCATAACAAAAATAAACAGTAGAGATCATCAGAGTTAAAAAAAAATAAATTAATTAAAAAATAAACAGTAGTGATCATCCGAGGAGATACAGATATGTGCGGTCTATTAATTTTTTTAAATATATAAAAAATAAATATATAAATAAGAAAATTAATTAAAAAATAAATTAATAAGGGCACAATAGTCTTTTTATGTAAGACAGGGACCAAACGTGCAACACAAAAATAAATAGTAGGGGACAATCCGAGTTAAAAAAATAAGTTAGGGACAAAAACACAAATTCCTCCAAATCACAGGGACCATTCGTGTAATTTACTCTTATTTTTCGTTTTGTTCATATTTGGGTAACTATTTTTTTTGTACACATCTAGGTAACGAACTTGTCAAAAGTGTTCACATCTAGGATGTAACCTGCTACAGCAGGTCATAATGGTCATATGTGAACACTTCCAACAAGTTTGTTACCTAGATGTGTAAAAAAAAAATAGTTACCCAGATGTAAACATACCGAAAAGTTAATTACCTTGATAAGTCATTTTCCCAATGTTCTAAACATTAGAGAAATTATATGGAAAATATAAGATTAATAAACTCGAGCCAACCCACGAGCCACCCACTAGTTCTATATATTTTCCACTTTATTTGATAAATGATTTTAAATAGAATATGTAATTACTCTTATTCGAGAATGCGTATATTTGATATTTTGCTCACAACATTTTTAAAGTTAAAAATTCCTGACATAATTCATGCTAATGGTATAAAATGATATAAAGATAAAAGCGTTGTTATACAAATCATAGGAATACATACATTACATAATTTTACCAAGAGATTAAACAATACTATATATTTGTCTGAAAAATAAAACTTGGTTGTATAAATGAAAAAGAATGACACGTAGCAGCTAATGATTAATACTTAATAAAGTCGTCAACCTAACTTCATTTTTACATACAGATAAAAAATATTATAAATAATATTTTATCTTAAACTCTATAGCATTTTTATACAAAAAAAAAGTGTATTCTCATTTTTTTTGGTAAACTATGGATTATTAAAACACTAATTATGTTAATTAACTTTTAACAAATATGAATTACATCTTTTTATTACAATAACTTTGTTAATTATCGGAAGTGTCACCCTCCTTTATAAAAAAATAAAAATAAAACTTTATCAAAAAATTATATAATCATCAAATTAAAATAAAATACATTATTTGTATATAATTAATTCAAATTAATTATGATTTATTAAAACAACATTTATTAATAAAAATATTACATATATAACATACTCCATTTTATGAATATTACACATGCACTTATAAAAATATTACACATACATTTGAAAAAAATAATATATGTTTGAAAATGGTTAACCGCACCATCTTAGCGGCCCACATCAATCTCTCTCAAGGTCCATATAGGAGGTCAATTGTAGAACACTAATGATGTTTTGGGTGTGCCATGGTTTGAACCCTTGACTTCTTGTGTGGAATTCTGCAGCATAGCGTTAACAAAAAAAAAATGCATATTTGTGCGTTATAAGTGGTGGTTTTCCCACTGACCTTTGGAATTGAAAAATAAACATAAGTGTAAACAAAAAATGTTGAACACATAACATCAGCTCTCTCCACACAATTGATGAATGGAATAAACAATTTAGAACAATTTAAAGAATCATGTGCATTGAGACAACATTTTTGGGCAATCAAAGTAAAACTTGTGCTTTAAAAGAGGTTAAAGAAGAAAACAAGATGTTGCTTCACAATGTGAACATATAGAACCCTTATATTAGGATGAATCAACCAAAGTATCCACATACACAAACTTGTTCATATTGTTGCGATGAGTCTGCTTCATCACATATGTACCATGGGCTTTTGCTTCATGCCTCATATGCTTGCATGTCTATGAATTGGTTTTTCACCCATTATGTACAATATCGCTAGGGAAAACTTATTTGGAATGGTCAATGCCCTTGATAAACCACAAAAACCTCATAAAGTGTCTAAATCATGCAATTAGGACTAAGGATATGCAAGAGATATGAAGGATGAAACAGACCCAAGAAAATACAAAGTGCATGAGCGATAAGCCTCAAAAACCTCGTAAAATGTTTGAACCACATAAAGTCATCACACCTATGAAAGCATCGTAATTGTCGTCATAACCCCCATAAACTCATCATTAAAGCATCAAAGAACCATAATCAACATAAACTCATCATCATCAAATTATAATAGAATAGCATAGAATAGTGACTAGGTTTAAAACGAAAAAAATGTCAAAATGTAGGTCTTTTGAGAAAATTAATATTGGGTCTTTTGTGGAATAAATATAAAGCCAAACCGGGAGTTAACGTGGAAACCAGCTAAATTTGTGAAACAAAAAAAGTACTTCTCAAGGGTTTTTTTAGAAAAAAAATGAAAGTTTAGGTTTAAACCATAAAAATGAAAAATGCTTTATCTTATATGTAATTAACCCTTAAGAGATAAATGAGTAAGACATAAGTATGTATGGATTATTAACAAAGACAGATTTAATAACCAATTAGTAGGAGAAACAATCTTAAAGTAAACATCTTTGAATGCATAGGGTGTTGTTTCCATTTAAAATAAATCCCTGAGATATCTACAAGTGTTTCATTTGTGCCTAATAAAGAACGAATAACTTATGAAAAAGAAGACTTTCCCTATTAACTTCTAACTTTGCACAATATGATTTGAAAAGTATATATTATATGTAAGATCATTGTTACATTATCTTTCCCTAAAAATTCTCATTTAGCAGATCCAACCATCACCCAATTCGATTAAAAATCACTTCCATGAGACTTCAAAAAGAACACTAAACCATAGCCCCAATTTGATTCTACTTGCAGAAATGGTCAAGGGTTCGAGTCACACTAGAATAGAGTGTGGGACTTTTAATGCTCTTTGTGGGCCCGCCACCTAGCATGCCCAGCCACTCAATGGAATAAATACCTGAAACAAAATGGCAAAATTGTAATTAATCAAATATTGGATTAGACTTTATCTTTAATTCTTTATCACATCAAATCATCTCAATAATTATATGCTTTACCTCAAACAACTTCCATTAAGCAGTCAAAAAATCTGAAGTTCTGAACCATTCAGTCTGTAATTTTCTCTAATTTTCACAATTAATCCTTTGGTTAATGCTCAAATCTTGATAATCGAATTTTCAACTGAACTTTTCTTGCTTCCGAATATAACCCTAAAGAATGAAGACCTTTCACAACAACCCTTTGAGTACCTCTCAACACCTTCATTCCTCTATTCAAACAAGCCAACAAAACCTTTGAAGCAGTTAAAAATTTCCTTTCTTTACAAAGATTATGCACCATGGAAGTATAAGTTATACAATCTTTAACCTCCATTCTTTCAAAAATCCTCAAAGCATCATTACTACACCCCACTTTACATAACCTATCCACCATACAATTATACGCAACCAAATTCGAATCAAACCCTAATGTATCCATATATTTCAAATATTCCAAAGCTCGATCAATTTCCCCTGATCTACAAAGCCCATCAAGAAAAGTAGTATGGGTATATTGGTCACATTGTAATCCAAATTCTTGAATTTCAGACAACAAGTCATTAGCTTTATCTATCTTTCCCTCTATGCAATACATGTTAACCAAAATATTGTATGACACAAGATCTTTTTCAATACCCTTTTCGGTCATTAACTTAAAGATTCTATATGCTTCTTCTAATCTACCCTTTTTAGCAAAAGCACTACTGAGTGTGGAATAAGAGAAAGCATCGTATGTATACCCGTTGTTTTTCATTTCATTGAATACTTCAATTCCTTCTTGGAATTTTCTTGATTTAAAGCAGTGTTTCATGATTGTAGTGTAGGTGATTGCATTGGGTTTAAATCCGGATTCTTTAAGCTCTTTGAGAATCATTCTTGCTGCACGTATCCATCCGGATTTACATAATCCATTGATTAATATGTTGTATGTGAGTAACTCCGGAGTGAAGATTCCATTCCGTTGTGAACTCCGGAATAGGGATAACGCGTGGTGTGTGTATCCGGTTTTGAAGAAACCGTTGAACATGGTGTTGAATGTGGTTGAACAAGGGGAAAGGTTTTGGGATTTGAAACTATGGAATATCATGTTGGCTTCTTCTGGTTTTCCTAATCTAAAGTAGCATTGTATTAGAATGTTGTAACTCCATACATCGGGTTGAATTCCCATTGTACCCATTTCGTTGAATAATTCTATGCATTTTGAATGTAATGAATGCTTTGAAGCACCCGAAAGTAAAGAATTGTAAGTTATTACATTTGGGTGTATTTTGGCTTCTTTCATTCTATTTAGGATTAAATATCCGGAATCAAGATCAACAAAATGACAATATGCAGAGACTAATGTGTTGTATGTGACAACATCGGGTAGTGTTCCTAACCTTATGGCATCGATGATGACTGATTCGGCTTTTTCCAATTGTTGGAGTTTACAAAATGAAGCTACACAGATATTCATCAGCTTTGTTGATAATTTACAAACCATTCTACGAGGGTAGATGAATTTGAGGGAGAAAATGGGAAATCTTTGTATGTCAGATCATGTGTGTATTTGTACAAAATGAAGCCAATGACCTACAGGGTTTTTGAACAAATGTATATTAGAAACTAGATTTTGTTAGATATATAAGAACAAGAAAGAGGCAATAGTTGAAGAAAGACAAAAACTATTCACAAATTATAACAATGACAATAAGGAAAATAAGTGATTAAAGCTTCAAACTTGCTAAGAAAAGCAAGTGCAAAATATGAGACAATGATAGCAAAATATTTATTGCAGGAGTGTGGAGCCTCTATTCAAAACTAATGGAGTTCTTGAAACATTAGAGTGTATATTGAAAATTAGAAAGAAAGATGTCACTAATATCTATTAGATGTAGTTTATTTATGCATAATATGCACTCCACAACAAGGTATCCACAGAGGTTTAGAAGTTTCAATAACAAGGCATTTCATCGAACAACTGGTGTGCTTAACACTTCATTTAAATTTTCATCCTGCGTTATTGCTCAAAACAAATAAACCCACCAAATGAAGAATTTCACAAATACAAAGATCAAACACAGGTGTTTTTAGCATCTTTTCATATATAATTAGCAAAATGTGCCTCGTCAAAGATCTCTATGCGCATATATGTCCACAATTTTCTGTAGATATAAGGTCTGCTCTTTCAATCCCAATAAAATAACATTTTAGATTAACGCCATAAAGTTTCCATATCAAACAAATCTTGAACCTACAAAATCCCCGTTCATCAATTGAGATTTTTTACCAGTTACAGCCATGATTTTGATCCATGGGACGTAGTTAAGCACGTATATAGAACTTTTTGTGAAGTCGTTTGCCGCTCATTTTCATAGAATATAAATTGGAAGATAAAAATGGCAAGAGAGGCACCTGAATTGACTTGGAAGATTGCCGGTGACAGGCGGAGAGAAGTGAAGTGAAGATTTCCGTTTTGTTGAGTTAGAAGTGGGTTTGATGTTTGGAGGGTCGACTCCCTTGGAAATTGGGTGCAATTAAACGTAGGGGTAAAGTAGGGATTTCAGGTATAACAATGGGTTTAATTTCACAAGATTTATCCATATGAATCCTTGGATAGAGGGTTAAATTGAGAAAAAAAAAAGTTGAGAATGGGGGAATCATTTTCAGCGACATATTTATTTTGCCGCAAAACACTTAGGCGTACCCTCGGAAATGGATAACCGATAAACATGTGTTCTCCAACCAAACATGTTTCCTTAAACTATGCTAATCATTACCTTAATTAGGGGTGAGCATTTGGACCGAACCGGACCGGCTTTTTGGACCGGACCGGTTATGGAGAATATTATGGACCGTGGACCGGACCGGATGAGTCGTGTCCGTGTCCGTGTCCGGGTCCGGGTCCGGGTCCAGGTCCGAGTTTTCCGGTTCTTGGACCCGTTTGGACTGGTACAACTTTAATTGCATAGAGTACATATCGTTAAAATAAGTTTTTGGGTTTGATAGAACTCGTTAAAACGAATATGTTATTGGGTTTGATACGATACAACTTGTAAAAATGATTACGTTTCCGTTTACTGCATAACTAATCTACCTTGATGTTATAATATTATAACTTACAAAATTAATTTTCCAAATAAAAACAACTAACATATAAATCAAGTTCACCAAGATCCCTTTCATATGATTTATCTGTCAAAGATACATAAAATTCAGAATTATAGTCTAAAATAATAGTTAAAAAGTTGAAATATTTCAGCTTTGATAGTTCAACTTTTGAAGGATTGTAACTCATCGAATATAATACCAAAATCAACAACATTATAGTCTAAATTCATCTACAAACTGTAAATTAAATGTTAGAAAAAACCGCAAGTCAATCCGACTTAAAACGAATGAGTTATGGTTGTTTAAAAATTTTCACAGATCACAAAATTTTAAAAATCTTGCTGAAAAGCTGAAATTTTTCATCTTTGATAGCTCAACTTTGAAAGACTGTAACTCATTGAGTATAATACCAAAATCAATAAAATTATAGTATAAATTCATCTACAAACTGTAAATTAAACGTTAGAAAAAACCGCGTGTCAATACGACTTAAAACGAATGAGTTATGGTTGTTTAAAGATTATAATTTTTTTTAAATCGGGTCCAACCGCTTCTAAACCCGGTAAAAACCGGACCGGACCGGGGAAAAAACCGGACCGGTTTTGATGGATTCCTAAAACCAAGAACCGGCCCCGGGGGTCCAAAAAAACGGTCCGGTCCGGTCCGGTCCACCGGTCCGGTCCGATCCACCGGTCCAAATGCTCACCCCTAACCTTAATATACACAAAAATATACTTTTTTTTGTTTTTTTTATTTTTAGAAAGCCATTTTTATCGAAAAATTATTTTAAATATATTAAAATTCATAATTTTTTATTCTCTATAAATAGACATCCATATTGATATAGTTTTAAGATAAAATAAAAAAAGTTATTTTTTTTTAAGTTTCACCTCTTGTTATTCATAAGTGAATAAAAGATAGATTTTTATTAGAGTACATTCGTTATTCACTTATGAATAAAACGTATGTTTAACTTTTTTTTTATAGTTTAGGTATCGTTCATATATGAATATGACACGTAATAAGTTTTCTTACTTAAAATATATTTTTTACATCTTCTTTCGTCATATATTATATTTATATATGAATAAAATGTGTATTAGTTGTCGTCATATTTTATATTCATATATGAATAAAACATTTATCAGATTTTTGTTATAGTTAATTTGTTATTTATATATGAATAAGTAGTATAGATGATACTTAAACTGTAAAAAAAATTAATTATATATTTTTATTCATAAGTGAATAACGAATGTACTGTAGCAAAAATCTGATGCATTTTTATTCACTTATGAATAACGATAGCTAAAAATATAAAATATATATATATATATATATATATATATATATATATATATATATATATATATATATATATTATCTTAAAAGTATATCAATATGGATGTCTATTTGTAGAGAATAAAAAATCATGAATTTTGATATATTTAAATCATTTTTCGATAAAAATAGCTTCTTAAAAATTAAAAAATCGAAAAAAAACTATGTTTTTTTATATATTAAGGTAATGATTAACATAGTTTAATCATTAACATGTTTTATTTGAAACAGTATTCCTTATCCATTTCCGCTGGTACAACGGAGGCTTTTGCGACAAAAATAAATGAGTGGGTGAGAATGATTCCCTAATTCTCAACCTTTTTTATTTTCTCAATTGTAACTTACCTCAATCCTTAGATCCATTTGATAAATCTTTTAAAAATTATAAGAAATTATTTTGTTCTTTATTTTCTTTTATCGTTTCTAAAACTTCAATATTCCTCTTGATATAAAAGTTTTTTGAAGATTCCTATCACAAAAAAATAAAAATAAAAGAAACTTTTAAAAAACTCCAAATGTTTTTCAAAAGTTTTCTCATATGAATTTCACAAATGACATCGCTAAAATCTTCGGCTCCATCCGTTAAATCCATGGTGAGGAATCTATTTGTTTGTCACATTAGCATATCACAACTACAATATCTACAATATCAGGCTTTCATTGGCCCTTATAAAAATGGTTTTCGATGACCTTCTAACACAACCTTTTTTTTCACATATAAATCCTAGGTTTTCACTGATGACATTTGTAAATTTTTATTTTTAGGTTTTTAGATATAGTTTTTCGAAATAACGTTATTTCTTTAAATTTCACCTATGACATGTACAAAATTAGTGGAGATGTTGGTAAGCTCTCTAACTTTTGTTTAAATCTTGAAAAGTACTGATGAAATTAGTCTATTTTTCTTTTTCTCACAATTTTAATTTGTTGCTTTAACATCGTGTTGAAGGCTCGTGTTCAGTAAAAATGGAAAATGACTCTTGAGGGTAACTAACTGTTACTTTTGTTTTCATTTGGTCACTTTCCTTTTTTTGTACTCAATATACCATCGAACTTGTTGTTTATGTTCACCATAACCCTTTTGACCGACTTTTGACCTGTGATAGCCGGTCAAAGGGTTATGCTGAATACAAACAACAAGTTCGATGGTATATTGAGTACACAAAAAAATGACCAAATGAGAACAAACTCAGCAGTTGGTAACCCTCCTGAGTCATTTTTCCCGAAAAATTAAATGAAATTAAAGTTGCAAAATTATCAAAGACTGCAACCTTCTTTGGCCATAACGTATATGAAGAGCGTTTCGGAGGGGTAACTTCGTTAAAACATGGTCTGTGATATGCTTACTATGGTTAGTTGTCAACACCTCTCTGCAAAAGGATATGACTATGTATGAGAGGTATATTTATCAGCATAAACGTTTACCTCAAGGTATATTATGGTGATGTGTCTACAAAATCTGCATGATATTGTACATATTGATGTTGTATGTTATCCCATGAATTCGATCTGAAAGCTAAGTAAACTCAAAAATCACAGCACTTGTGATTCCATGCGTTTGTAGACTTGTCTAGAATCCATGATACGATAAATCATTTGATTGGAAATGTAAATTTAGTCATGAAATGCACCTGCTTAGTCAAGATTCCCCTAATAAATATTCAAGTGCATTACAAAGTTGTACATGTATGAATAATGTTCTTTCATGGGTTATGTTTTGAAGAGAAGCAATAATGAATCTCATAAAGTCATTAATATCAGCAAGAGATGACGTGGGATTTGTTGTAAATGAGTAAAGGTAAAATGACTCAGGAAGGTAACCAATTGTTAAGTTTGTTCTCATTTGGTCCCTTTCCTTTTTTTGTACTCAATATACCATCGAACTTGTTGTTTGTGTTCATCATAACCCTTTGACCGGCTATTACAGGTCAAAAGCCGGTCAAAAGGGTTATGGTGAACACAAACAACAAGTTCGATGGTATATTGAGTACAAAAAAAAATGAAAGAGACCAAATGAAAACAAAC